GTGATGAACATGCCCAACTGTTGGATCGCATCAATAGGACGCTAGCTATCCTAAAGGTACATTATTGGACTGATAATTCATGTGGAGGATTTTTAATATTTTTCTTGATTTACTTTCGTGAAATTGGTGCAATACTTTTTTTTCTCTGGTATCATTATTAGTGTGTGCGTATGTGTGCATTTCCGTTTGTACAAGAGAAGAATTGTTCATCATCCAGATCGCTACTGTCAAGTTGAGAAATACTCTGCTGAAGTCTTTGAAGCGATTCTTCGTCCTTTTTCAAATCATCAGGTGTTCTATCGTCACTTTCTGGGCTAGTGATCATCAACAGTTGATCTTCAGCATCTTTGCGTGCAACATTGAATGCAGCTAACGCAGCAAGCTTATCTCCAACTGAATCACCAAGCCTTTTCAGTAGATCTTTCAGTCTCGACAGATCCCATGCGCTCCTCTGTCGCAGCTCTTCCGTCGCTTCGCCAACAGGGATCGTTTGTATGAGATTTTCAAGACGTTGCTTCTTTGTCTCGAGTTCCTCAAGCACTGATTGCTGATCGTTGAGATTGTGTGGTATCTCTTCAGGTTGTTGCTGTAGACTTTCGGAAATGAGAAGAATCTCAGGCGCAACTGACTTCAACTGCGCAATCTGTTCGATATCCTTCTTCTTCTCATCACATTCCTTCTTCAACTTCTGCACTTGTTCCGGTAGAGTCTTATCGAGATCATCGTGACTGACAACTGATGATGGGCTGGTAGCGAATTGCTGATACGCATCCGCGACACCACTCAGTTTCTGTAGTTCAGTATCAATTGATGCCATTTGTTGCTTAGCTGATTCCAAATTCTCAGGATCGACTCTTGTCAAAGCATCAGCAATACTTGATAGGCGATCCTTGAGTTCATCTTGTTGTTGACGTGCTTTCATTTCATCCGGTAGAGCTTTCCGCAAGGTTGCCAATTGACCCTGAAAGTATTCCACCCTAGATTCCCTGATCGTAAAAGAAAATTTCCCATAAAAGAAAAACACTACAAAGAAAGGACACAGATGTTAACGAAAATCACCTTCACTTGTTCTTTAATATTGTTCACATCTCGAGCCAATTGATTCCTCGGTGAAAGATCTTCTTGTGGAATTGAATCGACAGCGACAAGAATTGCTGACAGATCTTGCTCATCCTTAGTCACATCATCGATAGGAGCAGGTGTATCACGAATTCTCAGTTTACCACGGCATTCATCAACAACGTTTTGCAAGTCAACAGTTTTCTGTTCGAAATCCTCCATTTCATGCACTTGATCGTCTAATTTCTTGTTAATCATGTCGATTCGATTTGAAAGATCTTCTTTCTTTGGTAGCAAATCGACTGGAACATCAGATATTGCATCGAGTTTGGAGAGTAGCTTTGGTGTTCTAGCTTGTTGGAAATCAATTAAATCAGATGAAGACGGCAACGTTATTGGTAGGGCTTTCTCCAGCTCTTCCACTTCACGCTGAATTTGCTCCAATGACTCGATGGCGTTGTTGCGAGTATCACGATCAATTAGCATCTTCTGTAGCTCTTCTTCATCACGTTTCGATAAATCGTCAATGGTTTTTCTCAGATCCTCCACTCTGTTCCCAATATTCTCTTCAGCTAACAGATCTGGTGATACATTCGCTAAACTATCTCGAGCGTCTCGCATACGTCCCAAATTCGCTTCAAGTGTCTCAATATCACGTGTAGATGGAAGCGTTGCGATCGCATCTTCGATCATAGCCAAACGTTCTTGTGCTTGTCGTAGGTCATCGTCATGTTGTTTCTTCGACTTACGCATGTCGTCGATCTGCTTCTGAAGTGGTTCTGCGTTTTCACTTGGCAGAACATGGATTTCTTTCTCGATGTCATCCAACGACTTTTCAGATAAATCACGAAGAGGTATCGATTGTAATTCGAATATTCCGATTCGAAGTCGTTCGTTGAGGCGATCCTGTTCGTCCTTCTCTGTCGATGCTTTCGCATCGCGGAGTAACGCATCCAACGAACCCATACGATCGTTCAAAATCGACAAGCGCGACGAGTCTGGATCAACATGCTTACGACCGTGATTGGCTTCATCATGTTTCTGTTGTAGCATCGAAAGTTGTGCTCGTAATGCTGGAATTTGGAACTGTTCTATGTTCTCAATAGTCTCCTTTGTTGGTTGCTTAGCAAGCGATTCACAAATAGCGTTCATTTCAGTGATAAAATGATCGACTGAATCGCATAGCAGGCTTTCGTCTTCGATTTCACTCGACAACTCATTCAGCACATCATCGTATTGTTGCACTGTCTGTTCCGCGTCAACGTCGATGAAACGAACGTCAGCGTAGGCGCTGTCCAAAGGATCAAGCAGTTCCGAGAGTTCTTGAAGTCGACGAACTTTACCATCGAGTATATGAGATTTTTGACGTTCGGCAGATATTACATCAAAGTCAAGTTTGGCATCGTTGATTGTTCTACGTGGTTTCGCCAACACTC